CAGTCTAGGATCTTTATGGAACCAGGCTCTGGTTATAGTCTACTTACAGGGACAGGGCTACATCCTCCTGGTTCTAAGAACCAGGAAACTCCAGATGTGGAACAAGCCAACCAAATTTAATGAGTCAGAGACCAGCAAGGATGGTGCAGGGAAGGAAGCATTAGTCTCTAGTATACTTACTAGCTGATACCAATTAATTGTTCTTCCTTTTGCATGGTTTACCTTTACAGAGCTAGGAAACACACAAGAGATAATGCAGGATGTGAATTGGATCAGGTGTGCATGGTTATCACCAAGCCCTAAGGAAAAACTGTCCTGTTTACATATACAGTGTATTGTAAATCAGCCAGCAAATACTAATGAGTGCCACTCTGTACCAGACATGCTGGGCTTTTCACAGAATATTGACAACACAGTCCCTGATTTTCAAGAGCAACTGTCTTGTCAAAAAGATCATTCATTCATTCATTCAGCAAATGTGCATTGAGTTCATCCTTTGTGCCAGGCACTGTGATATGTGGGCATAGAACAGAAAGAAGATGAATAGGAACCCTGCTTCCATGGAGCTTATAATCAGGTGATATTGACACTCAGTAAGTGACTCTGTATCAAAATATCCCCAATTCTAGTCATATGGAGTTTTTTTTTCCTTCACTATCAAATAAAAGAATTCAAGCAGAAGTGGGATGGTACCCAGGTGTTCATGAGGAAAGTAGGACTTGAACTAGACTTGAAAGGAAATTAAACTGTACATATGCCAGAAAGAGTGAGAGCTTGTTCTGGATGAGGAAAATTGTAGGGACAGTGTATAGAGTTCATCAAAGGGCATTTACAAATGGATCAAATCTACAGATCAATTATTGAGTCCCGTGATGGAACAGAAATAAGGAAGCTGAATTCTAGACAAGACTGTGCTGCAAACTAACTTTGTGACTATAAAAAATAACCTTGCCTCATATCTGGTCCAGAAGTGAGGGAGCTGGATTGCATGATCTCAGACTCCCCTTAGCTTTCGAATGTGCAGCTTTGTTGACTCCTACAGGGGTCAGCATGCTCTTGGCGACAGCTGGCATGGTGCCTGACAAGAGCCCTCAATCTCAGGACAAGCTCTGCAAACTCTGTCAAATTAGATGATGGCAAAAGTCACCACTTATACTCTGGAGCATGATTATATGTGCTTTTCTGTCATTTTCTTATTATTTCAATAGTTTCCCGAGTCGATTACACACTCTTTCAAAGCAGGGATCAAGAAGGGCGGAATATATATTATTGTCTGGGTCAAGTAAAAATCATTTGACATCAGAAGACTGGATCTGTAATTTATCATTCTTAAATTATTCATGTTTCACCCTCTGGAGTAGGTCAAACTCTACCTCTAGTGATTTATGTTTTACTTATTACTTTAGCCAATTGATACTTTTCCATAGATCATGAAAATATAAAATTCAGCTCAGCCTCGTCAGAATGATTTGTTCATTCAAGTTGAATGAAGTTTTATTATACTTGTAAAAGAGGAGAGAGATAATCTTGCAAATATTATATATTACTAGGCAGTGCAGGTGTCTCTAGCCCCCTGTGTTATAATACCAGAGATAACAGAAAATACTTAAAGTTTCCAAGAACCTGGTTTTACTGTCATGAGGATAAAATCTGTCTATAGGGACTTGGGGAGAGGGAGACAGTGTGGAGTGTGGTTAGTGTGTACATGGAACCAGACTGCCTGCATTTGAATCCAAGCTCTGATACTTACCTGTAAATAAACCTGGACAAGTTAGTTAACCTCTCTGTGCCTCAGTTTCCTCATCTGTCCAGAGGGGATGATCACATTACCAACTTGAAAGATAAAATAAATTAGCATTTGTAAAATGGTTAGAACAGTCCCTGACAAAGGGAAAGTACTTTGTAATTTGGGTTATGATTTAGGAGGGAGTTGAAGGGAGAGGAAATAGGAGATGCAGATAATCATGTAGAGAAGCTGGTGGCAAGGAAGGTGAGGAACTGGAGCACATTTATAGGAAGGGGAAGAATCAAGCAATTGAGCACTGGTGCTTCTGTGTATTTTATTTACCAAGGAAAGGACAGTGTAGGATTATCTGAAGGTGAATGGAATGGAGCCAGTGATCAGAAAGACAGAAGAGGGAGGGGGATAGCTGTGGGGGCAGGATGATCTGTAATAAGGAGACAGGTAGAGGTTTTAGGAGGTAAGTAACTGTTGAATAGATTTCTCTGTATCCCTCAGAAGTCCAGCTAGCCTATATAATATGTTACAGATTTGGCATTGAAATTCAGAAGAGAACCATGCAGATCACCATACCCCTCAGTTGTTCAGGATCAGGCAGTGGATGGGGAGAAATTAAAAATTCACAAACATTTAATGGGCTGTTACTCTGAATCAGAGTATGAGAATCTGACAAAATAATGCAGTTGAGCAGAAGGCACTCTAATTACAGGCTAAAGAGTAGATGTGGCCTTGTGGTGCATCTGGGTCATTCTGGAAGAAACCTCACAGACAAACCAACGCAGTATTCACCAGACTGTGGCAGAGTGGCTTCAGCAACACAGGCGTCAGGCGGCTTTAGCCAAGTGACAGGCAGCCCAGCATCCACCAAACCATGGCAGTCTACCGAACAGCTGGGCTGTGTTCACGTGCCTGAAGTGTGACCACTTGTATTTCAATCTTTTTACCACCATTGCCACAAAATATAATTCAGTCTAAGAGTCAAGTTCAAATCAGAGATCTCTCTTTCTCCATCTCTGTCTCTCTCTCATAGACACACACACAGTCTTAACTGGAATGTTTAAATATATCCTGTAACATTTGCTCAGTAAGTAAAGCTGTATTAACTGAAATCTTTCATGTACAGAGAGAGGACCAACTTTGCCAGCAGATTGGGTGTCATAAATATTTGGCAATTTGGAAAAAACGCAGAAGAACTATAAGCTCAACTACAACCAGAGGAAGAGGGTTTTTTGAGCCACAAGATCTTGGGCATCATAAAGACCACCAGGGACACCATCTTCATGGCCATAAGTGCTAAGAGGTCTAAGAGAAGCCTGTTGAGCCTGTATATACTACACTCTCAGGAAAGACCCATACTTTTGTGTAGGTGAGAGTCAGTATATTAAAGGGGTAAAGTGTTAAATCAAATAAAATATAAAAGAGTTTGGCATCACTTGACATCGTGTAAGCTCTGCATAATGTTTCTACTTTTTCCCCCTTCCACCCAAGGTAATTCCCTTTTTAAGTATTGCTTCTCAGTATAGATGGCAGCATTTTGTCCCTAGCTGAATGGCCCATGATATTCAAATTCCTATAGTTGTATCAGCTTCTCAAGTTGAGTGTACAAATAATGCAATCCCAAGTGCATTTCCTTAACTAAAACAGGCCTCTAAATAAAAATAAAAGTAGAGTAATAACAAGAGAAACCTGGAGGTCTTCTAGTGCACGTAACCTGATCTAACTGGATCATTCTTTAACATGTCAATGGTCTTCTCATACAAGGGCATACAAGGGACTCTGAAACTCTCAGGGAATAAATAGGAACACCTGTTTGTTTTTCCTGCTCTGACCTCAACTCTTCCAGGACCACACTTTTTCTATAAAAAGTGCCACTAAAATGTTTCTGTTTGCTCTGGAATAGATGTTGGCTAAAGTATAATTTTTGTTGCAAAGAAGACATGCCATTTTATTGTCCTTCAAAACACACTACCTTCCTAACAGAAATTATTTATTTGCTTAATACAGTCAAGAACTGGAGAACCACAGGTCTGTCTGGACATCTTATGTAATGTTGTGCTACTTGGGACAGGGATGCTGTTTAAAATGATGTTAATTAAACTTTGGAGAAAAAACAGATTCTAGGAGTCCAATAAAAAGATTGACTAAAAAAACATTGAATTTATTTCTGTATGCTTTTTCTTATAACAATTTTTTGTAAGAATTTAACTTCAATCTGCTATTCCTTAGAATTACTGAGAAATGTACAGTATTAAAAGGAATTGTTTTTCAGGTATTTAAAAAAATATTTTCATGGCATCCAATGAGTTTAAGCCAATATTTGGAGAATCCTGTTGAGGGATTGGCTTCAGGGCCATTTATGCCATGAACACCTGTTGACCATGACTTCTGTGCCAGACACTGTGGTAACTAATGGAGACACAGCGGTAAACAAAACCAGGTGTGGTCTCTCCGCTCAGGACACTTGAGGTTTAGAGATAATGACAAACATTAAACAAATAATCACACAAATAAGTATGCATTTTCTCTTCATGAGTTCATAAAGAGAAAATATTTGATGTTACATAGTGGGGGATTAAGTCCTAGTCAACAGAATGTTGTCTGAGAAAGTGATTTTTAAAATTGAACTCTGAAAAATGAGGGAAAGTCAGCCAGGTGATGAGGGAATGGGAGAGCACTCCAGGTAGAGGAAACTTCAAGTCCAAAGCCCTCAGGTAGGAAGGACGATGACACTCCTCATGCAGGGCATAGAGGGCAAGTGTGGCCTGAGCATGCAAGAGCAAAGGACAGAAGTTTCCAAACAAAGGTGGAGTTGCAGCCAGAGGCTACATCAAACAGGACTTTGAGGTCACATTAAGAATTCTGGTCCTTATCCTAAGATCAACAGGAAGTCACTGACTGCTGGAGGATGGTGGAATTAGATTTACCTACACCAATCATTTGAAGTCAGTGAGTTTTTTATCAGTGTTTAGCAAGTGCTGTGTAACTGCTCTAGGGATTCAGAGTTCACCTTAGACATGGCCCCTCTCTCAAGTCATAGGCAGTGTGGAAGTTTGGCAAGAAATAGAGTGTGGGCTAAAGCATAGAGGCAGGAATGGGATAGTCTTGGAAAGAGAATAACCAAGGCATCTTTATTAGCCTATGGGAGCTAATGTACGAAGTTCTTTTTTTTTTGCTTTTCTGTGCAAATGTTCAAAAAACTGTCATCTGACTAAAGGAGATGTAATCAGTAATTCTGCCCACTGAAACCCTCTGTTCACAGATCAGGAACCACACAAAGAACTGTGCATCGAGCTCCATGTCTTTGCCCCACCAGTGCTCCTCGACCTTGATGTGGAGTGACCACTTGGAAAGGTGAGATTCAGAAGCTGTCAGGATTCACAGCATAGCCGACCCCATCTCCCTGTTCTGATCTGAGTTTGTACAACAGCAGAATATCTCGAAGAATAAAGTAGAGATTAAGCACACATATCTGATTAAAAAGGACTAGATTCCTTGGAAGAGCTTTTGTGTTTTTAGTAACTTCACATAAATTTCCTCCAACTATGAACTTTCTGAAATTGGGTCCAGCCTGATCTTGGGATTGATCAGTTTTCATGTCACTGATTTCCATAGTAAGAATAGTTTCAGAGAGCATTTTAAAGAGAAGCCACCCTTGTTTTAATTTGACACAGGACTCAGTGGGGTTCGCATCCTCTTGCTTGATCTTCTGGTTAGATCTATTTGTTTTTCTGATGCCATTTTCATTTTAAATTTCACTGAAAAGACAAAGTAAAATGTCAACACAACAGTTCCATAACAGTAATAAGCATTTCATGACCATATATAGTGTTATTTTCAAACATGCATATATTTTAACAGACATTGATAATAAAAGTTAAAAAAGGGCGTTAACAGTAAAAGTATTATCCAAGTGGGAACATGTATCTACACTCTTTACCCAGAAGGATATGACTTCTTCAACTCTAGTTGAAAAGGAGCTTTGATTAGCACTTTATTTCTGGTGAATATTTTGTGTATTATTTCAATCATTATTAGGGATGCTTTTAGGAATATGTGGCACTTTGGTAGGAAAAAGCTTTCTACAATGGAATACATGTATTCTTTAATAACATATACAATGAGGAAAAGGTATTGTTACCAATTATTCAGAAATATTCTACACCTATAAAGATATTAATGACTGTAATATCCTACTGATGAATGTATCCTTATTTATATATATTTTTATCTGATGTTAGATATTTAAGGAGTTGTAACTGTTTTCTTTCTTTCTTTCTTTATTTCTTTTTAATTGAGTTTATTGGAGTGACATTGGTTAATAAAATTATATAGGTTTCAAGTATACAATTTTATAATACATTATCTGTCTATTGTATTGATTAGATCTATTTTGTATAATGCATGTAATTCAATGGGTGAACACTCTAGAAAACAGTACATAATGCCAAATATGATACATGTTGATCATTTAAAATTTTGAGCACTTGACTGTCCTGCCCCCAACACATCTTTGACTATTTCTGCCATTGACTGTAGGGTCAACTGAACGAGTAGCCTTGTGAGTACTACGGCATCGTGGGATCTTTTTTGTTTTAATGAGATAGTATGAAAAGTTCCACACTTAACCTTTTGCATAAGTTGAACTCTTCATTTAATGAAAAGTCAGCACGTTCATTTCACTCATTTCCTGGGCAGGTTTGTGTACAGTAACTCCTCTCCTCAGCATGAATTGTTAGAATGGACGTGGACACACATGTAGCTCAATTCCATTGGCCATTTGTCCTCCCACGGTAGAGATAACTGAACAACAATCACTTTCGTTCTTCAGGGGAAGATCTAAATGTGGTTTTCAATAGAGATGCAGTGCACAATGGTGCCTAAAGGCTAAAAATAAGCTGGCTGATCCTGAAACACAGCTTGAAAGTCACTAGGCCAATATAATTTTTTCTCAACTCAACCTTTATAGTCCTGTACTCTTTTCCTAAATATGAACATATAACGTATGTAAGCTGGGCACTGTTTTGCTATAAACACAGATTCTCCTGAAAAACAAATGAATGGGAAAGAAGGGAGATATCCACTTCTGATCTCTTTACTGATCAGGGTACTATAATTTCAGTTTTAATTTTTTATAGTAAATCTTATCATATTTTCCTTTCATCATAAAAATAATCCAGGATGTCTATAGAAACTTTGGAAAATAAAGAATATTAGAAAGAAAGATAGCTTACTAAACTTCCCCTACTCGAGAAAACTCCACCATCATTTTAGTATGTTTTTCTCTTATTTTTCCTCTGCAATTTTCTTAATTTTGTTTTATATACTTATAAATGTATTATTGTCCCCTGATTTTGTTTCAACATAAAATAAGCATTTTTATACTGTTTATGAATTGTTTAAGAGTAATTTTAGTATTTATATATTCATCTATTAAAATGATACACTATAGTTGACTCAGTCATAATCTGTGTTCAAATTGGCACCGTGATGAACAGAACTGTATCATAACCCAAAATTCAAATGCACAGGTTTTTCTTTGATATATTTGGTGCTTTTTAAAATTTTATTTATTTATTTATTTTTATTTTTAAGATTTTATTTATGTTTAGAGGGTAAGGGAAGGAGAGAGGGAGAGAAATACCAATGTATGGTTGCCTCTCATGTGTCCCCTGCTGGGAACTGGCCTGCAACCCAGGCATGTGCCCTGACTGGGAATCAAACTGAAATCCGCGGGTTCACAGGCCCACGTTCAATCCACTGAGCTACACTGGCCAGGGCTATTGGGTGCTTTTTAAACCATAAGTTTACGTTAAAGAATAAATACTTTGTAAATTGTTAAATTCTTTAAAGCACATAGTCTGACTTCATTCCAAAAGGATTATAATTATTTAAATTTCCTCAGCAATGAGTGAGAGTTTCTGCTTTGCTTTACCCTAACCAAAATTGTGCATTTTCTTAAAAAAAAATTACACACACAATACTTTGATGGTTTGATAGGACAAAAATTATAGGTTGTGTCTATTTCAATTTGCATTCCTTCTTAATACCCTTTTAGGGTATAGTTATATGTTAATTAGGGGTTTTATGTATTTATGTGTTAGGGTTTATGTATTTATGGCAAGATTACTTGATCATTTGATGTATTTACAATTAATATATCTTCATGATTCGATTATTCTTCTGGTTTAGAAACTTGGAACCAGAAAAATTACTCAGAAAGAAAAGCATATACTTAGCATAATTAAATAATCCAGAGGCTTAAGTAATTCAAAATCCAGAGTTAAATTACTTTTATTTTCAAGACATACAAGTCATTACCTCAAACCAGAATGTTTTTAATGTCTAAGATATTTATATTTCTTACTTATATCTCATACCATACCAAAAAGTATCCCTGTTTTTGCTCATTACATCTTTCTCTCTCTATTCTAACAGATAATGAAAGAACGGAAATGGACTTTTCTTATAATTCCTGCTGCCCTGAATTTGTATATTTCTTCCCATCTGCGGAGGAGGATTTTATATTTTGATTTGGATTAGTTTTTCATTCTCATCTTTTAAAATTTTACTTATTTTTGTCAGTAATACTGAGAATAAGTTTATCATTATAACCTATGCCTCCAAGTGTTAAATTGACTCCTTTTTAAATAAATTTTTTATTGTTGTTCAATTATAGTTGTCCCCACTTTCCCCCATTGTTCTCCCCTGCCCACCCCAACCCCACCCTCCCACTTTTCCCACTTTTGGTCCTCCCCTTCCCCCCAGCTGTTGTCTTTGTCCATGAGTCCTTTATACACGTTCCTCGACCTGACCCTTTAAGTTGACTTCTGGAGCCGGATTTTGAGCATATATTTAAGAAGATGGGAGAAATAAACAGAAAACTGTATTTGAAAAATAACTAAATAGAAATTTCAAACAAACAAACAAACAAAAGAAGCTGGTCAGTATTTCACAGATAATGATTAATCAAAAAGTGAAAAAAAGAAAAACCCATCTTCTAGGAGTTTGCCCCTGACTTCAAACTTCAATCTAAATTTAAACTGATGTGGACATCTTTACATTTTGTTGTTGTTTTGATTTTATAGTATGAGTTTAAAAAATCAGTATAAGTGTGACAATGTAAAGTCAACATACTGAAAGTAGAATTTAATTGATAAGACATATATCTAATGAGATAGAAAAGTATGCTAATTGAAGGCAAGACTATACCATGACAAAAGTTATTTATACACAATGTGTGATTATTTTGGAGATGTTGTATCCTTTTGGGCTGAGCTTGGAACTCAAAGTCCCTACATCTTTATTCTGGTTATGTGTCATTTAGTAACTCAAGAACCAGTTTAATTCTTATTTCTCTCCTTGAAGACTGGAGGAAGTGATATAGCTAAGGGTTCTCTTAAAGTGTCATAAAAAACAATAATAAGGTTAAATGATTAACTATTGAGTTAAAGCAATAAAACATCCAAGCTCAGCCTTCCGATTCACCATTATCAATGTAATAGTTCTTAAAATGTCTTCCTTGGTGCCATAAAAAAGGCAAAATTATTAAGTGACATAGTTATGAATATCAAATTTTGTGGCTTTTAATGAAAGGAAATAATTTATTTTATCTCTTTTGAAATAAGAAATTCTGTAGAATTTAAAAAAATACTTTATATCATATAATATCTATCTTTCATCTAATATGATCTTAGCCTGTAAATTCACCCAGCCTTCCTTTTCCTCATATCTCTCTTCCCCTCTCTTCCTCCTTCCCTTTCCTCTTCTCTTTCATTTAACTGAACACACATTGTATTTAATGTCACTTCCTTAGGAACTGTGCTATAAGTAAGGGACATGCTGCCACCTATAAGGACATCTTGGGAAGAGATGATAATATAGTATCAGCAGCCATAGGAGCCAATACTGTGACTCCATTGTCATTTCTGCCGACTAAATTAAGACAAAATAGTTGAGTCATTCCTCTTAAATAGTTGAACCAGTTCTGAATGAGTTATAAACTATAATTCTTTTCATTTAAACCTGTATTTGAAAGGGCCTTATGTAACTAGCACAAAGCAGATGCTGTATACAATCCCTTGATTCAGGTTTAAATTCAATACATTTTATTGAGTAAATTGATTTTTCCAATCATAGGAATGTCCATGCTCCTGTTACATAAATCTGTCCATCATCCATCTTTGTGGCTATATAGCTGTCATCTAGTTATTATTTTATTTTTATAAAAACAAGTAAAGTTTACAGAGGGCTCATCCAATGTCACATGGCTAATATAAGAAACCAAATCCAAGTTCAAGTATTTTGATTCCAGGCTCTCCCCATAGCACAGTAGGATTTGAGATTTACTACAATGATATTCCATTTATAAGACAATTTAGTGTAGCAATAAAGGCATGGGTTTTGGAATCAAGCTTGGATTTAAATCTGCCTATTTTACTCTCTAGCTCTGTGACCTTGAGAAAGTTAATTAATCTCATGGAGTCTCAGTGTGTTAATCTATAGACTAAAGCTAATAATATTTGCCTGTGAGGTTATTGTGATAATGTATGTAAAGTAACACAAAATTTACTTAGTAAGTATTAACTGTGATTAATTCTTTATCCAGAATTATCTCTAACTATATGATATGAGTTCTCAATTTCAACTCTAAACTGGCTTCCTTGCTGTGTGGGTTTAAATGTCATGAGCAGAATCAACTTCAAATCCCTGGCTGTTATTCTTGTTTATAATACCTCATGATTATGTTTGTCTATGCAAAACCTACTCATCTCTCACATGCTCAAATCTGACTTTGTCCTTAAGCCTTGAACAGTTTAAGTATCTTTGGTCTCTTCTCACCTCTTCACAACTCTGAAGTCACATAGTGCTCATTTTGAAGAGTATTGTATTATTTCTTAAATATTTTTATTATGTAATTTTTCCCTTGACAAAATTTTATTTTATGGTGGTCAGCACCCTTTTCTTATATTTTATTCACAGGTCCCTTAGCACTAGTGCAGTACTTGACACCAAGAAAAATGCTATTTATTTGGCAAATTCTCAACATAGCAACAATTCATGTACAAGATCAGCCACTGAAAATTTCAGCAAATGTGATAGAAAGCTCTTTGGTTCCATGTTGTTGTTCATCTTAGGAATTTTTATATTAAACTCTCCTGATTTAAAAATGTTATATCCAGGCAGAATAATTACAGTTTACTGTAATAATGTTTATTGAGGCTCTACATGTAAAAGTAATAAAGTAATAAAATGATTGGAAACATATAAAAAAGATTGTTTGGTAAAATTTTTCTCAATTAGGAATGATCTTTGTACAATAAGTTTGAAATCTGGTATGGAAGCATTATATGTCAGTATAATATGCTTTCAATACTTTTTAATTTTCAGAAAAGTATCCATTGTATATTAAAGTCACCCAAAATAATAAGCTCTGTAACATCAAATATTCTGGATCATGATTCAGTAACACACTGATTTTTAACAAGTGTTTTTATCTTTGTTTTCTTTATTGTCCTAAATAAACATGGATCTTTATCTTGTATAATGGGGTTATATTGAATATAGAGTTAAACTTCAAAATAAATTTCTTAGAAACTCTGTAAAAAATGTTGCATTGTGGAGACATGGTATGTTTTATTATAATTATAGTAATTACTGAAAAGCTCTACAGGATCCATATGTAAAACAAATATGTGGCATTAATATGCTTTATGGGCAGTAGAGACCCAGTTCTTGACTACATAGGAGGTCAAGACCTATGCCTTTTCCATTGAAAAACGGACCCCCACCTACGCCACCTCCATCCTGTTGTAGAGCCAGTGCTTTTACTCAGTGCCACTGCAACTCAGCGTAAAACAAAACAAACAAAAAATCTCAGGTTGTGCTGCTCCCAAGAAAGGAAGTGCTCGGGTGATGCACAGAGGTGTGCCAAGCCATATCAAGATCTTAGAGCTAGAGAGAAATTAAGACAACAACAACAACAACAATAGGAAAATGTTAGAGTTAGAAGATTGAGCTTCCATCAGAAGCCATGTTTATCCAATTCTCGCTCGAGGAAGAAGAAAACTAGAGTCATTACCTTTTGTATGTAAATGTGTATATGTGCTTTATAAGTGGATTTGGTCTATGAAAAATGTAAAAATTTAGTCAGAGTTGAATTTATTTACATTTTTACTGTCTACAAGAATGACTTTTAAAAATTAAATAAATGGTAATGAAATCCAGGTTATAAGGACACCATCTAAGCTACTTAAGGCAACAAAATTTATCAACATCCTTAGTAATTGGAAGCACATTCAAATGGAATTTGTTGTTAAAATGATTGTAATGATTGAGGAACCTTAACGATCTGTGTAAAATATACCTTGGTCAATATACTTTTAATTACTATGAGTACTTAAATGTTTCTTTGATGTCTTTAAAATATTTCTGCTCACCTTTTCCATTAATCTAGGCTACTACTGAATTCTTTGTTAATTTAAAATATCTCTAGGCTCTTCCCATGGATTAAACTGTTTTATCACTCTGCCAGTGATATTTAAGACAACTAGGTATGCATGTTGTAGGTAAGGATTGAGAGTTGATTTTCTATTTACTTTTGCTCTTTAATATTGTGCCATTTTGGTTAGCATTTAAATTTGAGTTTTCTTTAGGCTTACTGAAGAAAGCAACTGTAAATATTTGTTGAATATGAGATGATTGTTCTTAGAAATAATAAAAAGATAAATGTAAGCCTGCTCCATAAAATAGCTTGTCTTTTAGTCAACTCTGTCATTTCCTACCTTGCTGTAAGACCTGAATTTCAACCCTATGTCCATGAGCAGAGTAGCAGACAAAACTGAGTGACACAACCTCGTGAGAGTGACCTTGCAAATTTCTACGTTTATCTCACTTAAGCTCCGTTCCCTTATCTGCAAAAGACAATGACACCTATCTTGTAGATTTGCTGCAAAGATTAAAGATGATATCTGTGAGACCATTGTTTTAAAACACTATAAATTCTCTGAAGTAGAAGATGGTCCAAAAATAAGTCACTTACAGGATGCCTCAATGTTGAGTAAATGGTTGGAATTTAGATGTGAGAGAGAGGAATCATGTGTGTGCAAAGCAGTACATGGGCATAGTAGAGGCCCAAGCATTTTACCACAAGCTCTTTACAAATCTCCAATCATCCTTTAAAGAGTTAACTTGAATTACTCTCAGCCAGCTGTTGAACCAATGTGATTTCCTCTGCAGGTGCAAGCAAGACCATTCCTGCCCCCAAATGAGAAGGTGACTTTGGAATAAACTTCCTAGATCATAACTCACAAGCAGGAGTTTGCTAAGTTAAAGAGGAAATAGCGTGAGGCAAGTCCCCATTGATATTCAGAGCAAGATGTGGGCTGTGAGATAAGAAGGAGTTAAAGAGAAGTGGGAGAATTGCCAAGAAAAACTGTATCATCTGAGCCTGTTTCAGGCTGGTCTCTGGACTGAAGCATGGTACCAGAGCCAGTTGGCATCAACACTGTCTCCCAGGGAACCTGTTGGTGAAATGAAGGAGTGGGGCTCTATGGTTGGCCTATGGGGTCAGCATGTCAGGCTTACAAAACTCAGTGACTGTGCTACTCTTAACTTACCACGCAACTGCCGCCACATTGGAAAACCCACCCTTTGGGAAAATGACAGACGCTAAAATGGAATTCATGAGATTAGGTGTAGTGTTTGCCAAACTTGCCCCATCATACCCAGAGTTTGTTAAAATAGAAACCCCTCGTCTCTCCCCTGAAGATCATGAATCAGAAAATGGCATGGAACCTGGGACTTTGTATTTCTAAAAAATAAGCTCCTTCCAGGTGATTTTTTTCATCAGGCAGACTTGACAACATTGAGGTAGTCCAGTGTTTCTCAAAGTGTCATCCCTGGATGGGCAACATCAGCATCACTTAGGAATAATTTTCAGTAGGCAGGGATGCAAATTTTTTTGGTCCTACTCTGGATCTTACTGAGTCAGAGACTCTAGAACTGGAGCCCAGGAATCTGTGTTTTAGACACCCTCCAGATGACTCCCACGCACACTAAAGCTTGAGGACCACAACTATCAGATGTGGCCCAGAGAGCTGGAAGTTAGGAGTGTAGCTGAGTTTGGGAAATTCATCTAGTTCATTTCTCCTAGGGCTGGTAAGTCATCACTCAACCCAGGGGCTGTTCTACCCTTGACATCACTCCCACCCTCTCTATTTTCTAAGGAGTAGCTTGATGTTGTGGATCCCATTGGATTTCCCAACTGAGCAGGGCCCACATTTTTTCCTCCTTCTTGAGAGCAAAGATACTCTATTAATTTTCCTACTTGAAATTCTCCTGTTTCCTAGATCCCACTTTAAAGACATTGGTGGAATGCCCAGCTGGCTCTAAATATGATTGAGGCTTATGAGTCTGTTAATGTGTTTTTTTTCAATATTGGCATATATCAAGTGAGCTGCTAGAATGCATTTTTTTAAAGAAAGGTGTGAACAGATGACAAATTGTCTCATTCTCCTTACTAAGTCTCATCTTTTTTTTCTGTTCAAAGGCCAAATCCAATGCTTAAAGATATTGTCCATTTTTTTTCAAATGACCATCATTTTGAAGGCTAACTCCTGGGATAACTGCTAATATGTGAATATTCCCACTTAGTGAACAAGTGTAGAGTTAAAAAGAGAATCACTAATCAGCCAATGAGACTACTTGCTGGCATGGTAATACATGAATGTTAGTGAGCTACAGCTTCCACGACAAAGTACCACAGACTGAGTAGCTTAAACAACAAAATCTTATTTTTCACACTTCTGGAGACTGGAAGCCCAAGGTCAAGATGAGTGGTTTTCATGAGCTGTGAAGGAGATAGCTACTCTCCTAGCTTCTGGTGGTTTGCTGGCAGTCTTTGGCATTCACTGGCTTGTAGACAAATCACATCGTCCCACAGAGTATTCTCTCCTGTCCAAATATCCCTTTTTTATAAAGAACACCAGTCATATTGGATTGGGGGCCCAGGCTACTCCAGGATGACCCCATCTTAATAGCATCTGCCATGACCCTGTTTTCATAGAAGATCCAAAGTGAGGTACTGGGCATTAGGACTTCAACATAGGATTTTGGTTTGGGCTGAGGGATACGAGTCAACCCTTTACAGAAGTGTTGGTTGATGTAGGGAGGAAGTCAAATCTAAACTCCAAAATCATAAGGCCTAACATAATATTGCTCCTGGAATTTCACAGGTTTAGGGACTTAATAGAAATTTAAGCAATGCATGCCATCACTGGCTCCAGTTAAGAAAGACAATTTGAAATTCGTCATATTTCTGATGCTGAAATATCTGGAAGTTTTTCCTGTAAATAAATAAACAGTACAAATCTTATAAAGCAAGTGGTGGGAAATATTATCAAATTAGACTAAAGTCAAATGGCTCTATTTATGTTGGGGAAAGTGGGAGGTTTTAGAAATTCCTACTCTTACATTATAAACTCAGATGGATTTCACTGCTTTGAACACTCACATTTTTTTTCCTGGTAGTTTTCAAATCTGAGCAATAAACTCACCTACAGGATGAAATTTGAAGGGACCCAGATACTACCAATTTAAAAGAGGATAATTAAAGATTTACAAAGTCATTTGGGTGAGGGGCGTTCACACAAGTATATGATATTATCACTAAACACAGATGGTAAAGGTGGCCCCGCTATTGCCTTCTTGAGTTGGAACTGCTTATTTGGGACTTTTATTTACAATTTCATGCCTTTATGCAGACAGATACACAAGACATCATACAAATCAGGTGTACCTCTGTTTTATTTGCTAATAAAAGTCTTATCTTGGGTCATGGGTCAATGGCCTCTCATAGTCCTTTTGATGTCCAGTCCAACTGTTAACACCAATCATGTTTGTGCTTTGGTGACTTCCAAAGGCTATTCATGATCACACAGAACTATGTTTAGTGTTTGTTTCTAATGCATATATTGCTGATCCGATCCTGACTTCTAGGTTTTGCCAGTAAAATTCCCTTGACTATTTTCTCATTTTATCACTGTATTTACAGATTCCCCTATACTTTTTTAAAAGAAAAACAATTGTCGAAAAGCCATGTACTTATGTTTCTAGGAAGTGATCCAATCATTTTTGGGAAAATAGTGAAAGTTTCAACATATTTCTGAAGTTATTTTTGTATCAACACTCTTACTGTGTTTTCACAGTCACGATGGGAGATTTTGCCAGCGGCCAGCTATTACTCATCTGCTATACAGCTGAACAAATCATTTTCTAGGAACTGCTTCCCAGTAAACCCTAATTATAGATGGTTCTAATTACTTAGGGTATCTCTCTATATACTGATCATTGTAGAAAGCAGAAGGAATGCATTGATATGATCCATTTGACAACACTCGCCATGTACTTAATCATTTTATACTTACATTCCAGACTCTGAAACTATGTAAAAAACTAACCCTTCCCCATGATGGAGATAGCTGTCCAAACCTGTAGAGGTTCTAGTACTCTCAGGGAAGAATGTAAATTGCTACTCAGCATGGTATGAACAGCCAAAGTTCAGCTGAGACCCATCCTAAACTAAGTATGAGGAAATTATTTTGTCCCTTTCATTTACATTAGATATCTGGTTACTTGTTCAAAAAGTAAATGTAGAATTCCATATAGTGATGAGACTCATGGCCCTAAAATATATTTATGTAATAACTCTGCCCATGAATAAATCATAAAATCAGCTAGGGCACAAGGTTTTTCAATCAGGAGGTCCTGCTTTGAGAATAAATGACCAATTTCTAGTGATGTTATGAGGAGTGTTGTGAAAAGTTTTTACATCTCTTGCATATGGGTGGAGCAAAAGTAGATTTGTAGTTATCCATATGGAAACTAATACAATAACTAATAAATAATGATACAGTAATAAACTCTGTGTTTTGTATACTCACAACTGTAAACTTACTTTTGCCCCACCCTGTATCTACTGGAGAAAGAAGACAAGGGCAGAAAACTCAAGTCTTTCCAATCTCTGCTGGTAGAGCAATATCAGGTCATTCAGAGAATGAAAAGTGTCTTCACTTGATTTTAGAATTGTTTTTCTTAATAGGGATTTTTCTTTCCCTTTCTTTCTTTCCTCTTTCCCTCCTTGCTTCTCTCCTTTCTTTCTTCTTTCTCTCTCTTTCTTCATATACTTGTTAAGTGAATGAAATACTCTTGATTGTGTTACTTGGGAATAGGAATCAGAGAACAGTGTGAATCTATAAAATGCAAAAGGGAAAGAGAAGTAATACTTCCAAAAATTTACAATGTATGTTTACAATATTTAAACATGCATTGCTATGTTGGAACTTCAGTCCTTTCACTTAATTCCTGTTAAAATGCAGCTCTTTTAATGAGTGATGCATGCTTTCCTGGGAGCGGTTTGTGAGAGAGAGCATCAGGGTACACTGTGGGGAAGAAAACTGTGCCTGTGACGAGAAAGAAGATTGCAGGCAGAAAGAAAAGGGAAGTGAGAGGGGATCAATGACAAAATTTAACTATTTCTGAGCTCTCTTCAGATTCAGTTCTGCCTCACGGATATATCCTTCTAGGCTTTTAGTGTACTTACTATTATCCACCACAAAACTAGCTATTTTCATTGAACATTATTTATAGTTTGGTATCCTACTAGTCACTTAACATTAAAAAATGTAAAAATAAATTGTTACAGCAAAGTCTGCTATTGTCTCTCTTTTACAGCTGAAAAAAGGCTTA